GGTCGGTCGCTCGGAGTGATCGTGGCTTGGGACGGGCTGGGCATCGGTCACCGGATGGTGAGCAATTGCGTTGTCCATCGTTCGTTTTGTATATTCTGTGTATTCTGTTACCATTCTCATTATTACTATTATTATTATTTTCCCTTATTAAACTGCCTTTATCTCAGCCCTCGGCTCTAACCTTTTTTTCCCTTCCCGTTTCTCTCCCCCATCCCACTGAGGGAGGGGGGAGTGAGCGAGCGGCTGCGTGGTGCTGAGTTGCCAGCCGGGTTAAACCACGACAACAGCCCAGGGCTGTGGCTCCTCAGACTGGGCTGTTCAATCTGGTGATCTCTCTTTCTAGAAAAGAAAGAAAGAAATGTCCTCTAAGTCAGAGAAAAGGTTAAAAACAGAAGCCAAACCTTCAAACATGACAGAAAAACCTCCAGAACGAGGCAGTGAAGAGGAGGGTATGTTCCAGGTATGGCGGGTGGGGATCCGCTCTAGGAACACATCTTCCTCCTCTTTGTGCAGGTCTCCCCTCTACCTCCTCTACTTGTAGAGCATTTCTGTAGCTGAGCTCGCTGCCTGGGGTGCCTGGCGTTCCCTCTCTAGGCCTCTGGCACATGGAGTCACCCAACAGGCCCTACGGGCCAAGGAGCAGCTTGTGGCAGGGCTGGGTTTAACATAAACTCTGTGTCGTCACAGATTGGGAAGATGCGTTATGTCAGAGTGTCCTGCTTCAAGGGGAAGGTCCTCGTGGACATCAGGGAGTTCTACACTGACAAGGAGGGCAGCATGAAACCGGGGAGGAAAGGTACGATCACATTTGCTAGGTGGCAGCTGCGGGCAATGCCAGCCTCTCTGCCTCGGCTGCCAGCTCTCCAGCTCTGGCTCAGCCTGTCTCCCTCAGGGGTAGGGAGACCTGTGCACGCCACACGGAGGGACTGGGGAGCTGAGCAAACTACACAGAAGGATTTCGCACTTTCACAGCATGGGTGACAACAACTGAAGAAAAGCACAAAGAATGAGTGAGCGTGAGCCTCCAGTGAGACCTGGAGCTTGGCAGGGCTGCTCTGAGAAGCAGTGCAGGAAGCTGCTGTGCAGGACTCTGGTTCTACCTCTGATCACCAGTCCTTTCTCTGGCTGTTGGCAGGGGCAGAGCTGCAAGGTGGAGGAGAGGAGGCTGAAAACACTGTTTCTGATGTTGCTTCCTTGTGTCCTACTGCTAGCCGACAAACTTGTGTTTTGGTACTAGTGTTGCCTAGGGCAAAAAGGTGGCATTTTGTGTGTTTGCCCCATCTGTTAAGGTGGAGCTGTGATTGGCAGGGAGAGCCTCCTAGAAGTAAATCCATCCTTCCCTATCTGGGTGGGGACAGGAAGGTTAGGACCCTTCTGGGTCCCTACCAAGACACTTGAATGCTGCTGGCTTAGGTGCTCCTTGTTCGTTTGGCAAGGTGTCTGATGGCGTGGCACAACTTGGGTGGCCCATCACAGCAGCACTACCTGAGTAGGTGATGCAAGCAAAGGCAGCTGGAGAAGGGAAGACACGTTTTTCTCCAGAGCTCTTCAACTGATGAGTCAACACTCAACTTGGACCTTTTGTTTTGGGACTTCGACAGTGACTTGCCAGCTTGCCTTGTGGTTCACAGGCCCTGGACTCTTTTCACCCATCCTGTGTGTTGTGCCCAGCAAGGATTCAGTTAATGTGGGGTTTCTTGAGGAACCTTTTGGTCCTTGCTATAGATTTTCATGTAAGGGCAGATGACTTTAGTTCAGCGTGGTATGCTTCATAACCACGAAGCACGGTTTTCCTACCAGAAATTAATTTCCTTCAGAGAAGTTAAGTATAAATTACTTACTTAAAGGGAACTGTATACCCTGTGATGAAAATGGGAAGCAAAGCCTTCAAGCTTTTTTGTGCCATTGGGGGCAGAGAGGGAAAGGAGCATTGTGGATTCCTTCCAGGCTAGAAAAAGCACACCCACGATGTAAGACAGAAGATCTGTCAGTTAAAACAGAGATCATGAAGAAATGTTTTTTCATTTAAATACTGCCTCTGCTGTTTTTCTCAAGCATTCTTGGCCCCTGATCTTTATCTAGAGAATTTAATAAAGCTTGGGCCCTAGTTCTTTAATGTGATTCTTAACAAAGCCAAAAGGAACAAGTTGACAACATCTGGCTGGAACCCATGCAGCACTTCCACCACCGTGTTTGTTTTGTTAAGGGAGAGGGACAGGACATCAAGACCTTATGTCTGCTGGGTCTAAAAAGCAGCCAGTTCTTCTCTAGTGTTTAAGCCACACTAGTGATTTCTTGTTAGCAGCATCTTTTTAAAATAGAGCTAGAGTTGGCATTATTTCCTTTGGGCAGTTGAAAAGATGGTTTCCTAGCTGCTGTGTGGAGTAAAGTTCTCCTAGAATTTCTTCCCAGCTCATGTGGGTGGGAATTTGTACTAGGGAATAAGCTATAAGGGGCTGTGGGACTCTTGAAAGGCAATTTGAGCTTTTATTCTGATATGGTGCTTCTGTGATAGCATTGAGTACTTCTTGATATGGATGCTGAAGTTCTGACACAACTGCCATGCTTAGAAGGCTGCTTCTGTTTCTGGTCTGTGCCTCTGCCTCAAATTCCAACTTTCCCTTCTGTAACTAACCTGAAGGAGCCAATGTGGTGTGCTACTTGATGCTTACCCCTTGCCTCTGAAACCTCTCCTGCTGTTTCCAGGGATTGCCCTGTCTGCAGAACAGTGGGAGCAGCTGAAGGACATCATTCCTGAGATTGACGCTGCAGTCAAGAAACTATAAGATGAAGAATCTTGGACACCTTAAATCTGTTTCCTTTCCCTTCAGTGCACTGACAGCTATAATGCCAAGGATTCTCATCTGGAGCCTTCCCCTCACCCTGCTGTGGTTTCCTCACTGAGGTGGTGGTCATGCTGAAAAGACCAGAGACACTTCTGTTTTCAAGATGGAGCTTGTAATGAGCCCCTGAAGTAGAGCCAGTGCTGAGAACTGAGACTTCAGCACCTTTGGTCTCAAGCAGACGTGAGGTCTGTGCTGGTGAGGGACATGACCCCAGCCTGGTTTTCCATGGGTGGAGTGCTTTAACTGCTCTGCATCTGTTACTGTCTTCCAGGTGGTTGACTGGAGTAAGATGGTTTGTATTCCTCACGTTGGCATTTTCTGTGTTTCCTCCAGATGTCATTCTGGCTAATTCAAGTACTCTCTGTGTTGGTGAGGGTTGTTCGATGGTTTTTGGGTGGGGGTTGATTGGGGTTTTTTTTGAGTGAAGAAAGGGATTATTATACTTTAGCAACTGTTTTGTCTGTAGAGGGTGAATATGCACAATAAATGTGTTTGCATTATAAAAAGGAGAAACATAGTGTTTCACAGGCTGGCACCTCCACTCTTTGTTTCAGGCACCCTTCTTTGTAGGTTGCTGTTGGGTTTCCCTTTCAGGAGGAGAGTGCTCTGTAGTGTTTATTCTCATGATATGTTCCCAATAATCCTGCTATACAGAAGCAGTCAGGGGTTTACTCCTGGTCATGGGAAGGGCAAGCTAGAATGTGAATCATTCAAAGGAATTGGTAATTAGGAGGCCTATTAAATAGAAGGGAAATTAAAGGCCTAAGGAGGAAAAA